TTGAAGACAAGAATCCAATAATGAATGATTTTGATCGGTAAATTAGCAAGTATACAAATTCACCAATGTAGTAATAATGAGAAATCCTAAAGTATCAATCTCAGCGTGGTTCAATCAAACAAAAACTTGAATTGGGGTTTTGGTTTGTTATTGTCAATGTAAACTCAGTAGAAATATAAATTGACTTTTTACTAATATGATAAGCATGCCATGGTGTGGTGTGTAATTTTCCCTGTAACACCTTGAATACTGATTTCTTCAACAAGTTCATAATACCAATTACCAGCCCTTTAGGTTATGTTTCCCTAAGTCCTTAGTGGGAAAACCTATGAACATTCATTTTAAATCCTAAGTCCTTAGAAAGTTATGATGAAATCAAGCTTTTGTTTGATCAAGAGTTAACTGGTAACTATAGGGTATCCCTAGTCCTATGTGATATCTATTATAGTCTAATCGTACATAAACCTTAACAATCGCGGTCGAACTGGTTGTTAACCGTAAAGCAATCCTAATTGGTCCAATCAAGAAATCATAAAAGCATTGCACGACTAAATTGAATAATAAAAACCATGGAATTGATAAATTCAGAAATTCAAAGTCATTACAGATTCAAATCAGGGACACCCCCTAGCATCGGGGGGTTTAGCTACTCATATTGTTCAAAATAACTACAAGATAAGAATTAGACATTACAGGTATTTGGATAACTTTGATATTTAATCGCTTCCGCTCATTAAAATCTTCCTCTCTCCAAAAACCTTCATCTCTTCAATCTTCAATCGTGTAAAATATTATTTGCTGGAAAAAAGTCCTCTCTTTCATCGTGAAAACTCATCTATATTTTGTTTGTGTAATACCGCATATGTTAACTCTTATTCCAAAATAGGTCCATTACCCTTGCTCAGTTAGGTGTTATGTATCTCAGAGTTGTAAAGGTTCTAAGTTTGGGGTTGAGACACCGGTAATAAAATGGGTGAGTACAACAAAAAGAAAAAAAAGAGAATCAGAAAAAAAGTTGAATGCTGAAAAGAAAAAGAAAAAAAAAGAAAAGTGTACTTACCTAATGATTAGACTCGATTTAGAAAACAAAGATCTATACTCAAAGGAATAGTTGAGTCGAAACCGAGAAGTCAAACTAGAAAGGTGCCTGAGCTGTCCCATGTGATAAATATAAAAAAAAGAAGAAAGTAACACCGTGAAAAGGACTATAACACTAAGTTGAGCCAAAAACCCTTTGTTGTCCCATTTGTTTCTTTATCCCACTGTATCTAAGACCCATTATAACCCAAAGACCTCGAAAAAGGTGTGGAATGTGTATGTGAAATGAATTTAGATTTTGCTCAAACTTAAGAGTTGATATTGCATGATTTGAATTGTGAGTGAAAGCACTTTAATCCTGAGAGATTTGGTAAGAGTGTATCATAAGCTGACATGTGAAGTAGTGCGTTGATGTGGAAGTATGGTAGAACACTTGAGTCAGGGAAGCGGATAACTTTGGGAGGAAAGCAAAAGCAAGTTGTGAACAATCTTGGCGATATTATGGTAAGTTTATTTTGGGGGTGTTCAATTCTTTTTGTCTTGAACATTGCTTGAGGACAAGCAACGAGCTAAGTTTGGGGTTGTGATCGGTCACCATTTTCACTATGTTTTTGTCACTTGTCAGACTATATTCCAGGTATCTTGCACTGTTTTATTTCTTATTGTGTTTCTATTTGAGTCAATTTTATGTTTCTTAAATTTTTTCCTACATTTTTATAATTTTTGAGTTGTTTCAAGTTATTTTCCCATTTCATGCTTTGATATTTTGTTTTTGATTATCCTCAGACCTAAGTTGCAAATCCCTTGACTACAGTTGGAAAGTACCAAAACACATTTGTAGATTAATCTTTGGGCCAAAATCATAAAAAACACAAAAATCAGCGTCGTTGGCCAACACATATCGTGTTAGGCTACACGAGTGCTTGTGTTGGCCCTTGAAGTTAGAAAATTAACTTTAATGTCCCAGGGGTAGCAACATGGCCCGTTTCAGGCAACACGGCCACCCGTGTTGCACCCCTGATTTCTCTTCAATATTCGTGTGCTTCATGTATTGCAACACTGGTCATGTTCTATGACACGGGCGCCCGTGTTTCTCAACTGGCCCTCCAAATTGCTATTTTCCAAGGCTCGGGTTTTCACCACTTTCTCACACCACGTCCAGTGGATATTCAACTTAGACCTGAGGATAATCAAAAACAACATACCAAAGCATAAAATGGGAAAATAACTTGAAACAACTCAAAAACTATAGAATGCGGGGAAAAACATAAGAAACATAAAATTGACTCAAACAGAAACACAATACGAAACAAAGCAGTGCGTGATACCTGGAATGTAGTCTAACTAGTGACAAAAACATAGTGAAAATGGTGATCGATCACAACCCTAAACTTAGCTCGTTGCTTGTCCTCAAGCAATGTCTAGGACAAAAAGAATCGGACACCCCTAAAATAAACTTACCACAATACAACCGAGGTTTTTTGTAACTTGCTTTCGCTTTCCTCCCAAAGTTTTATGCTTCCCTGACTCAAGTGTTCTACCATACTTCCACATCAAAGCACTACTTCCCCAGTCATCTTATGATACACTCTCACCAAATCTCTCAGGGTTAAAGTGTTTTCACTCACAACTGAAAGCATACAATATCAACTCTTAAGTTTGAGCAAAATCTAAATACATTTAACATACACATTTCACACACTTTTCGAGGTTTTTAGGTTGTAACATGGCTTAGGATATAGTGGGATAAAGAAAAAAGGGAAAACAAAGGGTTTTTGGCTCAAATTAATGTTATAATCCTTTTCACTGTGTTATTTTCTTCTTTTTCAATATTTATCACTTGGGACAACTCAGACACCTTTTTAGTTTGACTTCTCGGTTTTGACTAAACTATTTCTTTGAGTATGGATCTTTGTTTTCTAAAGTGAGTCTAATCATTAGGTAAGTGCACTTTTTGTTTCTTTTCTTTTTCTTTTCATCATTCAACTTTCTTTTTTTCGATTCTTTTTTTTTCTTCTTCTTTTTGTTGCACTTACCCATTTTATTATCGGTGTCCTAACCCCAAACTTAGAACTTTAACAGCTCTGAGATACATAACACCTAACCGAACAAGGGTAGTGGACCTATTTTGTGCTAAGGGTTAACATATGCGGTAATACACAAACAAAAGGCCATAGGCTCAACGGGGTTAACAAAGGATAAATTATGAATGAGATGGATGAAAAGGCTCAGGGGCAAACAAAAACATTGTGCCTCAGTGTGTGTCAGTATGTAGTGATATTCAAATAGACCGTACGCAAACTCAGAGTGATAGAGACATAGATGACTAAACTCTCATGATGACAATTATGTGTTTGGCTTTTTTGTGCTCTCACCATGTTGGGTAAAGCTGACAGCTTCCATAATGCCTGTAGTGTGATGTAACTTCCTACTTAAATCGGGTTATACATGATTCCTTGGGCGCCTGGCTTTTGAAATTTGTGTATGATCGTTTATTTAGAGGTTAGCAATCACAGTAAGTGGCGTGATCTCGTCATCCACTATCACCATTGCTCATCACTTATGTTGACTGTCATACCCCAAATTTGTCCGCCCTTAGTGCTAACGTCAAATTTATCTTCGAACTTGGGTTTTAAAATTCCTTTGGTTTAATTACATTAATATTTTGGGGTTTTATAAATATTCGTTCTCAACTCCAGTTAAAAATATAATAATTTATTTCAAATTATTTGTATTTTTAAATAACAAATACTTGCTCGTCTTCATGTATTTTCAATTGGCTCTTTATTTCAAATAAGTAACATAACACAATTGGTAAAGAATGAAGCTTGTAAATATGAGGTTGCAAGTTCGAATCTGTTATGGTGAACTTTTTAATATTTTTTATATTTCTTTTTGTTACTAATTTTATTTCCTTTTTTAAAAATCGGGCTTGGGCTTTTCATTCATTTTTGATAACTTAGTATCTAAGTTTTTTCTAACCTAATTCAAGTCTATAAATATGACTCTTATTTATCCTAAAAATTCATCCACAATTTTACAATCTCTCACAACTTCACTCATTCACACACACTTCATTCTTTTTTGCAAATTTCTTCTTCTTTCTAAATTTTCTTTTTAATACTGTTGGGGATATTTTTGTTTTGGCCAATGATTTCATATGAGGCCTCCCTTTAATTTTCAATTCTATTTTTTAATTGGTTTCTTATTTTAACCATATGATGATGATCTAGTTGTTTTCAAAAATTATTTCTTGACAAAACTAGCTATTCTCTCAATTCACAATTGCACACAGACCATACGCATTCAATACACATCGTCCAAATTTGTACACAGTTACGGAGAATTTATGCTTTTGGTTTTGGTTCACCTTACTTATAAATATCATAATAAATTCATGTAAATATATGAATTATCACTACTTTTTTGTTTACGTTAACATTTTCCTAACTTATATGTGATTACAACTCATGATGTTTGTTATTTATAGTATCTTGATAAATATATATAAGATATCCCTAATTTAGTTCTTAGAAAAAATTAACCAATTAGTTCTTGAAATCAATTTGTGTTGTAAAACTTATATACAACATCATTACGGCCTCAATTCTTATATCATTATTACTCTAATATTTGATATATTGTATCTACTCCCATCTAACAAATTGCAGAGTTTATGAATTTCATCTATAATGAGCTTTGATTTCTACTTTATCCAATCACTACCAACAAAGAGAAAAAAACAAATGATATCACAAATTAAAGAAACATGAAGAGGAAGCAGCTCTGCCGCAAATCCGTCGGTCTTAATCAATAACCTAGAAAACAACATTATAACAAAACATCACAAGCTGAACAGAGCCCTCCACCGATGCAACTAGCCCACCTTCAATCGGCCTTCGCCGACGCCACCACAAGATCCAACGAATCTGGAGTCCGACGATGAGAACTGCACACACAACTCAGCCGATGCAAACGTCGATGAGAGCCCTTCGTTTTACATAGAAAAACAACGTCGCCAAAGATCCACCGTCAAAACTGCCACAATCTGATTGTCTCCCCTTCAAATCCAGAGACAACCGTAGCTGCCTCTGCACAATCATCATGATTCTGCTCAGATTCAAAAAGTCATTCTCCGTTAGCATCCTCCGGTTTATTTTCCATTATGCGTTTTATTCATGTAGTTTGATTAAGACATGTTTGACTAAATGAGTTTGTGAGATTTATGGGTGTTGGTTTTGTTTGGAAAGAAATTGAAAAGAGGGTCTGTGAAGATAAAAGAAGAAATACCGTGAGGGAGGAAGAGATAATTTGGGATCAGTAATTTTTCTCTCTGTTTTATTGTTACTTATATTATTTCTATTATTATTAGTTTATTTTTAGTTTTTAGGATTAACTTTAACAAATATTGAAATGGGCCTTAGGCCATAAATTGATCTAATAGCGACATCCCTTGTTAATTTAGCACCACCTTTAATTTAGTTATTTCTTTTATTTATTCATTTATTTATTTAATTTCTCTAAAAAATATATATCATTATAAAAATACAAAAACTATTTAATTTCGACATATTACCAATAATCGAATTTCACATCCTCGAGTAATTAGTGGTAGACTTAACGCTTACCAATTAGCTATTCAAAATACAAAATATATTTTATTGGATTATTTAGTTAAATCTATTTTCTAATTAATTCAAACCTTTTTCTTAAATTAAGTTAATTCAATATTTTACAAAGATATTAAAAACCATGCAATTCACCAGTGGATTATACATGGCCAATATCTGGCCAAATGATGAGGAAAACTTTATCAGATTCCCTCCGAATCCTCCATGACGAGCAAGGCATGGCCAATATTTGGCCAGGTGATGAGGAGACTATATCAGACTCCCTCGCTCTATGCCCTACCATACGTGTCATTAATTTAAAATTCAAAACAATTAACCAATGATCAAACCATTTTTTTACTAACATAATAAAAATCCAAGATTATTTTCAAAAAAGGATTAAGGAGAATTATTTTCAAATTAACTGCAAACTATGTCTACGCTCACATAATTTTCAATCCAGACAAGGTTCAAGGATAACTCAAAATCAATTCTACGTAATCCTATAAAAAACCAACCAAACTTCGAACTACGAATTGAGACTCTGATTCCTCATAAGAAGATACGTAGGCATACGACTAAAATTGTGGCGAGTTCCCCTAATAAAAAACTAAAACCATATTCCTTGAAGATTATTTCTAAAAATAGTATCCTTGTGAACAAGGTAGATGAGGGGTGCCTAACACATTCCCTTCGTCTAAAACTGAGTCAAAAAACCTAGAATCTCTGACTTTTTAGGGTTAACCTTTATCTTCCCTTCCTTAGGATAAAAGTTAAGGGTGACGACTCTTATTTTAAAACCGGTTACAACATTGACAACAACTTCATAATCCTGGACTATACAACATAACAAAACATAAACGATAATGAAACTCAACAAAAACTAGCAAAAGCAATAAATCCCCTCTCACACCTGAACTAAACATTGGCCTCCATGATTCAGAACAAGATAGAGAGGGGTAACTCACAGTGCCTACTGAGAAAGAAGGGGCAGATAATAACACAACACATCTGAATAATGAGAGATGGAGATCACACAAGGATAAAAATATAAAATCCAAAATCTAGACCGCACGCCCAACATGGGTTGTGTTACCCCACACGACCTCCCGTGTTGGGCGACTGAATCTTTGCTTTCACAAAAACAAATTAAGAAAGCTTCAGGAGGAGTAACACGGGCCATGTTATTGGACACGGGTGCCCGTGTTGCAAAGCTGACATTCCTTCAAAAAATTTATTTCTCGTTTCTTCCCTCACTACTTCCTTTGTTGATGCTTAGATGAATCTCTAATATATTCACGATCTTCCTCTTTCTAGTGAGGGTACTGTGCATACTTGACAAAAACCTATGACACATGACAAAAACAAAGAATAAAGTTAGAATAAAAATGTGTGGGTTTCCTCCAACGAAGCGCTTTGTTTAATGTCGTATGACTCGACGGTTTATCCCCTTAATTAAGGGGGGTACTTCCTCTTCCACACTTTATTGCTCGTCCTTTCCGCAATCAAGAACTCATTTATATCCAAAGTATGAACCAATTTGTGCTTCAAGTCACTTCCAACTTCCATCTTCTCACCTCGATGTTCTTTCTTCTTTCTCTTCTTGATTTATTGAATTGGATTTGGGAGTTTTTATTGATGCCACCTGAGAGATTATGCCCGAGACTTCTTATAGGAGTAGTTTCTCAATTTTGATTTCTCCTTCTACTTTGATCATACCAACTGAGGATTTATTCTTTTCACTCGCACCTTGCTTCTTGATCTCTAACACCTTCAAGGTTATCTCCTCATCGAATGATTTTAATGTTGGATTACCTGTCTTGATATAAAAATTGCATTGACTAGTAAGCAAAAATAGTTGACCAAGAACGATAGGAGCCTCTTCATCTTCAGGGATATCCATGATCTGGAAATCAACAGGAAAGACAAAATTGTTAATTTCCACCAATAAATCTTTCGCTATCCCGTATGACTGCTTGATGGTGTGATCAACAAATTTTAATTTTGTCTCACTCCCGCTTATCTTTTAAATACCAAGCTTTTTGAAGATAGTTAATGGCATTAAGCTCACACTAGAACTAGAGTCAATTAGAACTCTCTTGAATTTTATGTCTTTTATTGTGCACGGTATTGCAACTGACCCCAGATCCTTCTGCTTGATAGAGATTTTTCTCTCAGGCGTGATTGCGCTTAATTTCTCATCAATGGGTACCTGTCCATCTTTTGTTGGTCTCTTTTTCGATAGTAACTCCTTCATTAATTTCTGGTACAAGGGAATTTTCTCGAGTGCTTCAAAGAATGGTATGTTAATCTCTAGCTTTTTAAACAATTTGAAAATTTTATCAAACTATTTCTCTTATGTGTCCTTCTTTGCCACTCGAGAGGGATACATCGACTTAATCATTGGTTTAATATTATCTTCGCCTGAATTTATAGGTGATACCACTTATTCCTATTTTTTCTTGTTCTCTCTCACTTTTAGATCTACTTCTATGATACTATCATCAAATTTTACCTCATCTTCTTTCTCTTCAGCAACTCTCTGACTCCCTGTTGCGACATCATTAACATTCTCATGATTTTTATGATTTCCTTGTGCTTGTAGAGCTACTTGTTGTGCAATATGTCCTATTGAACTTCCAAATTTTTGATTGCAACTGTGGTATTTTTGTGATTACTCCTTGTCTCTTTTTGAAATTGAGAAGTGTAGGCAACCATCTTTTTAACAACCACGTCCCGCTCTGCCTTCTGAGTAGCTTGTTCATGCTGATATTTCCAAGAGAAGTTAGGATGATTCTTCCATCCAGGATTATAGGTGTTAGAGTATGGGTTATTCTGCTTCAAGAATTTTATCTCCTCAATTTGTTATGGAGTTGTAAGACATTGCACAGTAATGTGTAGTCCACTATAAATTTCACAAACAACCTTTTATACCTGTTGAACCTGAGCTACCAGTTGAGCACCCATGTTCATTGCTTTAAAAATTTTCTCCATTTTTGTAGAAATTGCTTCTTTAATTTTCAGTTGCTTGTTAATTTCAAACTTCAAATCAATCACCCCATGGTTTACTAACAACCCTATCATACCAGCTCTAGATGCTCATTTGTAGCAATGGCTTCAATAATCTTCTTTACACCAGTGGCTGTTGTAAAGTTGGATGAGCCACCGACTGCTGTATTAATAAGATGCTTTGTATTTATTCAGAGGCCATTCACAAACATCTACATTTGCTCAGTTTGATCCATATAGTGAGTGGGACAAGCTACCAACAACCTCTTGAACATCTTGTAAGCATCAACTAGTGACTCTCCTTCTTTCTGCTTAAAATTCACAATATCATATATTTTGCAAATTTAAACAGAAGCAGGAAAGTATTCATCAGGAAAAGTCTTCTCCATATGTTCCCAAGTAGTAATACTCCCAGCCAATAATGAGTAAAACCACTCTTCAGCATCTTCAGACAGCATGAATGGAAACATTCTCAATTTCTTTGCCTCTTCAGAGTGCCCCTCAATTTTCAAAGTAGTGCTCTTAGTGAGAAACCTTTGCAAATGTTTATTTTCATCTTCATTTATCTTTCTGGTGAAAGATATGTTCTCAAGCTGGCGGATGGTTGAAGGGTGCAGCTGAAAATTTGCAACAGTTACCGATTGATTCACTATAGTCAACCGACCTGTTGGAGAATTTGCGTATAAGTATCGAGTTCAATGTATGATTCAAACAAACAAAAACTTGAATTAGGGTTTTGGTTTGTTATTGTCACTGAAAAATTAGCAGGAATATAAATTGGATTTTTACTAATATGAGAAGCATGCCAGGGCGTGGTGTGTAATTTTTCCTGTAACAACCTTGAATTATGATTTCTTCAACAAGTTCATAATACCAATTACCAGCCCTTTAGGTTATTTTCCCCTAAGTCCTTAGTGGGAAAACCTTTGAACATTCATCCTAAATCCTAAGTCCTTAGAGAGTTATGATGAAATCAAGCCTTTGTTTTATCAAAAGTTAACCGGTAACTATAGGGTATCTCTAGTCCTACGTGATATCTACTATAGTTTAATCGTACAAAAACCTTAACAACCGTTGTCCAGTTGGTTGTTAACCGTAAATCAATCCTAATTGGTCCGATCAGGAAAGCATAAAAACATTGCACAATTAAATTGAATAATAAAAACCATGGAATTGATAAAATCAAAAATTCAAAGTCATCACAGATTCAATCAATGACACTCCCTAGCATTGAGGGTTTAGCTACTCATATTGTTCAAAATAACTATAAGATAAAAACTAGACATTACATATATTTGGATAACTTTGATCTTTAATCGCTTCCGCTCATGAGAATCTTTCGCTCTCCAAAAACCTTCATCTCTCTAATCTTCAATCGTGTAAAATATTATTTGTCGGAAAAAATTTCTCTCTTTCATCGTGAAAACTTATCCATATAGTGAAAATCCCTTGACTACAGTTGGAAAGTACCAAAACACCCTTGTAGATCAATCTTCGGGCCGAAATCATAAAAATACAAAAGTTAG